ACCACGTTTGGCGAAAACCAAACACAGCATATCAGCACAAACATCTCATTCCAACCGTCAAGCACGGTGGCGGTGGAGGGGTGATGATTTGGACTTGTTTTGCAGCCACAAGACCTGGGCACCTTGCAGTCACTGAGTCGACCACAAACTCCTCTGTATACAAAAGTATTCTAGAGTCAAATGTGAGGCCATCTGTCCAACAGCTAAAGTTTGGACGACATTGGGTCATGCACCACGACCATGATCCCAAGCACACCAGCAAATCTACAACAGAATGGCTGAAAAAGAAAAGAATCAAAGTGTTGCAATGGCCCGGTCAAGGTCCAGACCTCAACCCGATTGAAATGCTGTGGCGGGACCTCAAGAGAGCTGTGCATAAACAAATCCCCACAAACCTCAATGAACTGAAGCAATGTTGTAAAGAAGAGTGGGCCAAAATTCTTCCACAACAATGTGAGAGACTGATAAAGTCATACAGAAAACAATTACTTCAAGTTATTGCTGCTAAAGGTGGTTCTACAAGCTATTGAATCATAAGGTGTACTATAGGCTATAGTATATATTGGGATAGATCTACTAACTGAAAATCTACATGCAGCTACTATACAATTGTTTTATCTTTTTCTTTTTTTAATCTGCTTTAGTTCTAAGGAGGTATGGATGCAAGCTTAGTTTCCCCCTCCTACTGTATATTCACAACAAACCTGCAATGTAAGCTTGAAATAAATGATACAGATTGCTACTACTTCCACAATTCAAGAATGTAAAGGTGAGAGAGAGGAAAAAACGTTTAAACAGATTAGCTACCTTTGCAAAATACCATGTTTATAGTGAACAAATGAAATGTTGTATTCAGAACACTTATAGGTAGTCCCCAGTTTAAGAATGAGTTCTGTTCCCAAGCTCTGTCCTTAAGTCGAATTTGTATGTAAGCCGGAACAGTATTATTGTATAATTCTGTATAAGCAGTATTGTGTAATTAACTCAAACCATTGTGCATTTAACTCGAACTTTGCTACAATAGGTTTGATTCTAACCAATGGGTCATCCATAAACCAGGCATTCTTAACCCGGGGATTATCTGTATTTTGAAATATGCTCACTGAAACAGGCAGCTTTTTACTGGAAAATCACCCACACGTGACTCTGAGCGGGATCAGGATTGTTA